ACAACTGAGTATCTTTACCTTTTGCTAAATTAGGAAAATTCTCCTGGATTATTTCTGTGAGTAGCTTTTGTAGTTCATTTGTTTGTGTCCCTACTTCTTCTTTTATGTTCTTAATTCTTAAGTTATGGATCCTCTTATCATCTTCTAGTCTTTGTATTATTGCTGTTTGTTTCTTTGTTGCTTTTAAGAAGTTTTTCATTTCATTCTCCCATATTACAAATCTGCCCTCCAGTTCAGATAGTCTCTCCTTAGTTTCTTTCAAGCTGTTATGCCAGTTTTCATTAGAGTTTTTAGTTTCCTGGTAATCTCTTTGAACCTGCTTCACGTATTCTATGCTTTCTCTACTTTCTCCATCAAACAATTCTCCCCTCTTTTTCTGTTCTTCCATTCTACCATCTGTTTTTTCTTGGGTGGTGCTTAGCATTTCTCTAACTATTCTGCTTATTTCTAGCTTCAGGTCATTAATAACTTCATTCCTGAACTGATCTATGAGGCTGTCTAGATGGTGCTTTATGTCTATTGGTGTGGTGTCCGCTATTGCCTGTTTCTCAGGATTGGGGGCTGAAGGGCCTTTCTTGTTGCTCCCTCTTCCCATATTCTTTGTTCCTTATATATGCAAGCGTATATAGGAGGTCCAGCTTCCTTCCCTGTCGGCCACAGTCTGATTGAATTGTGCAGGCTAGGTGTTCCCGCCCACCCCAGCACACCAGGAAGTTGCAGACCAGGCAGCCTCACACAGAATTAGAGAGAAAAAGTCCTAAAATTCATTCGGAACCAGAACAAGAGACCTGGAATAGCAAAGGCAATTCTGGACAACAAAGGCAAAGCAGGGGGCTGGCTTGAAGTTATACTACAAAACTACTGTGATAAAAACAGCATGAGACTGGCAAAAACCAAAAACCCCTAGAATCAGTGGAACAGATTGGAAGACATAAACAACTCTAGATGTACTTAGCCAATTTATCTTTGATAATGGTGCAAAACACTGTCACTGGAAGAAAGATGTAGCCTCTTTAACAAACGCTGCTGGCTTTCCACGTTCTAAAGATTAAAGCTAGACCCATACCTTTCACTGAGGTGGGTTTGTGAACAACAATATAGGAATCCAAGCAGCCAAATTGATAAATTTGAAATTTACACTCGTATACAGAGAGACAGACAGACAGACAGACAGACACACACACACACACCCTGCTTCAAAGTCCAAACAAGTGGCACCAAACTGGAAACTAACAGAGCTTTTAAAAGAGAGAATCACAAAAAGACATCCTGTTGAAAACAGTTTAGCTAGAATCTTACATTAGTTTTGGTTGACACCTATATCCTGCCTCTTTGTTAAACAGGTTAATTTTTCTACTGTGGGTACAGCTCATTCTGCTTTTCTCATGGGACTTATACCCTGAGTAACTTCCCATTTTCCTGGGTCAAATACAGGGCACTAGTTAAACGTGGGGCTCAAGATGGCATCAGTTATGTCAAGCTACAACATTCATGATGCACTACACTAGAACTGAAATGGATCAAAGATCTAAATATGCCATGCCACCCTGCCGTGGACCCAGCTGACTATGGACTGAAACCTCCAAACACTGTAAGCCAAATAAACCTTTCCTTCCTTAATTTTGAGTTTTTGGTATTTTGTCCCAGCAATGAGAGAAAAGTAAGACATTGTAAGGCATTGTGAGGAAGACAAGAAGGAAGGAAGTGGGTGCCCTGGACCCAGGAAGAACTGAAGTGCAAACTGAAGCCCACAGGAGAGTAAAAAGAAACATGTCAACAAGGAAAGCAGTGATCGCTGACAACACCTTCCCCCTGAGGTGGATTCACTGTGAGAAGAGATGTTCAAACGTGGGGATGCACAGTCACGGTGCCAGTGACAGCTGGTGACTCTGGAGCCTCTGCACAGAGCCGTGGCCGTGGAGGGGCGTGGTGGACGTGGAGGGCTGCACTGGCTGGTAGGGAGTGCAGTGGACTCAGTCCTTCTGTTGGGAGGGAGCAAGCAGCTGAGCTGGGAGCCATTCTGGAGATGGACCAGATAAATCCAGAACCCAGAGCTGCTACCAGCTTCCTTCAGCAGCTCCTACCTGGGAGCAGACCTGGGGAAACTGCTTGGACTGCGGTGAGCCAAATGAGTCTGGTCTCAGGACAGGCCTGCAGAGATTATCCACTGCAGAGATTACTCCCCCATAAAGCAACTGCTGGCTTGCTGGGATAGAGCAGCAGCACAATTTGGGACTCTGTCTCCACAGGTTACCTACCAGTGAAACCAGAGAATCCTGGAAGTGGACTGTTTTTTCTTTTTCATTCTTGTTGTTGTTAGTTTTTGTTTTCTTTCTCCTTCACTGTTTACCTATGAGTGTGAAAGTGGTTCCTCAGCTCTCTGTGGATGTGGTTCTGTTCTGTTCTTTCCTTTTGCCTCTTCCATCTCTCTTTTCCTTCAGTCTTCTGCACCAGTTGACTCATGCTGGTGTGATTCCCCCTTTGCTGTCCAACCTTACTTGTACTTTCTTTCTCTTTTAACCCCAAGGGCAAAATTGACACATTACTGACTTAACATATTGCATATAATTATCTGGTTTGTTTTACATTTTGTTATTTAATCACAGATCTCGTTCATATGGTTAAAAGTTGCAAATTATGGGTTAGCTCAGTTTGTTGTTTTCTATCTGTGTTCAGTGCTATTGTTACCACTATAACTAAAACTGACATAACTGTTCTAAACAGCTGTTGGCCCTGATAATCCATGACTGAACTTAACTACGGGTCAAAGAAAATACAGTGGCACAGTGCCACAAGACCCAGGGACTAAGCCAAACAAGCAACAACTTCTCATCTCCTGTGAACTGAAGAGGTAAGATCTTCCAACAGACTCAAAACCCCAAAACCAGCTATACCTGGAAGATACCTCAGAGAAATAATAATCACCTAAGGGTCCTAAATACTACCAATAAAGTAACCCACCATAGGCAATTTACAAACATCACTCAAGGAATCAAACTAAAAAAAAAAAGGGGGGGGGGATAAAATGAGAAGACACAAGCAAAATGCAGCTTCAGACATCCAGTTCATCAAAGACACGTCCAGAGGGCAATGAAGTGGGACAACTCAAAAGCCCCCCACTAGGTCTTTCTAAAGTGGAAACAACAAAGCAATTGAATGAGGCTCTGGAAAAAATTAAATCAGAAATAATCTCTCAGGTAAGTACAGAGATTACCAAAATACACACCATGCTAAGCAATGTTAGAGCAGACACAGACAGAAAAATTGGACGAGCTTAAGAAAATTGTGGAAGCTCAGCACAGGAAAGAAATGGAATCTATAAAGCAGATTCAAGCTCATAGCCAGGAGAAGAAAAACTCCATTGAAGATATTCAAAGCACATGAGGTCAATGAGATTTGGATCTGAGATATTGAAGACAGCTTTACAGTTAGCAACCAAGAAAAGAAGTTCCTCAGAAATATCAAGGGACTATGAGAAATCAATCCAGAAACTGCTAAATGAGACAATAATTTAATATTAATTGGGAGTCAGTGAACAAACAACATACCACAAATGACAAAAAATGTTCACAGACATCATGACAGAAAATATTTTTCTGTGCCAAGAATTTAACATACAGATAAATGAGTCATGCAGAGAACTCCCCCCCCCCCCAAAAAAAAAAAAGTACAGCCAGGCATCTCACAGTCAAGATTCCAGAAATTCAATGTAAGAATAGAATCCTAAAAGCTGTGTTAGAGAAAAGAAATAAATCACCTATAAAGGAAAGCTCATCAGAATTATAACTGACTTCTCAGCACAAACTCTTTAAGTCAAGGAGAGCTCGGAATGTGAAGTACTCCCAAGTTCTAAAGGAAAACAAATTTCAACTCAGATTGATGTACCCTGCAAAACTATCTTTCAAAATTGTGGTTCAAGCATTTGCTTGGTAAGCGCAAGGTTGTGAGTTTTGATCCCCTTTACCCCCTCCCCCCACAAACTGAGCGACAAATAAGATACTTCCATGACAAAGATTATCTGAGGAAATTTATGACCACCAAATCACCTCTCAAAAATGTTCTGAAGGATATTCTAAACAGAGATAATATAAGGACTACAGCTACATGAACCCCAACAAAAGGAATCTAGCAGGTTTTCCTGGTGGAGGTGGAGGAGAAAAACACATGGGAGCCAACAACAAGGAAAATACCCTGGACAAGAGTAAGTCAATATGTATCAGTTGTAACCATCAATGTTAATGATCTCAATTCACCAGTGAAAAGATACAGGTTGGCAGAAGCAAGACCCAATAATAGGATGCATACAAGGGACGTTTAACTCAATTATTCACAAACTGAAAATCAAAGGATGGAAAACAATCCTCCATGCAACAGGACGCCAGAAAAACGCAAGGGTAGGCTATTCTATTAGAAGACAAACTGAATTTCAAGCCAAGACTGATTAAGGAAAGATAAAGGTCACTACATGCTGGGAAAGAAAACAACCCAAGAGTAAGAGGTAAGAACCATCAATATATATGCAAGAAATATCAGTGCACCTAATTACATAAAGTAATTATTAATGGTCATGAAAAATCAAATAAGCCATAGTAAAATTGTACTGAGAGATCTCAACCCACTGTCAGAAAAACATACATCGAGTGAGCAAAAAAGCCAACAATGGAATACTAGAACTAAATTAAACTTTAATATCAGAACGCATGTTCTTCTCAACTGCACAGAACATTCTCCAAAATAGAGCCTATTGGCAGAATGAAAAGAAGCTGGATATACCCCATGTATCCTATCAAACCATAATGTAATGAGGTGGACATAAAACAGGGACACAAGTTCCAAAAGCACTCTAGTAAAGTGAAAAGCACAGGAGCAAGCCTCGAGGATCATGTAACACTGCACAGCAAACAACACAGACGAGCAGCAACAACAAGAAAGTCTCAAGTAACCCTTAAGAAGAAAAGGCTCCCATACCTCTTTTTAAAAAACCTCAGCTAAAAACAGAAGCCACTCAGACTGCGTTCCTCCCCTCCTGCTATCTCCAAGGAAATAGCAGGAACGATCATCAATGGCAAGCGGCAGCCGCACTGAAGCAGCGCCAAGCGCCGGCTTCACGCTCAGGAAGGAACACTACGCCTCCGCCTCGTGGTTTCTGGTGCTCTACACAGTCAGAGAAGCTTCTCTAGTAACATACTATAGAAATGATCCCTGAAAGTATAGCCTTACCAACCACCCTCCACCTTTGCTTCCTCCCTGAGACGAACACATATTACGCTGATGGTCTCCTACCTGTGGGGACAGCGGCTCACATAAATGCACACTTTTAGCTTCCCTCCAGAACGCCTTTCCCTTGCCAGACCTACAAAAAAACCACTTTTAACGCTCCTGCCTTTTGGAAAATTTACTTCAGGGCTGGCAGCTTCATTAACATAGTATCGCCAAACACCCAATCCTGAGCCGCTTACCTCTAACCAACCCCGCCCCACTTCCGCCCCGCGGTTCTACGCCGCTATGCGTCACGCTGACGGCCAACCGGCGCGCCGCAGCGCCGGAAACCCTCCCTCCCCGGCACGTCTCTGTTGCGACCGCTGGGCCCAGCAAGGGAGGCCTCTCGTAGGCAAAGGAAGAAACAAACAAAAAATGAAAACTGGGACAGTGGTAGCCCCCACACAAAGCTACAAAAAAGCCAAAGGCTTTGACGTCTGCACCGCATGCCCTAGTTTTATTTATAAACACCCCCCCCCCCCCATTTTAAAATTTTATCCTGGGAGCAAAAGACCGGGAACATACCCTGTTGTGGTTTGCCAGCCCCAATCAAGGAATTCTTACGCTGTGATTAAACACAATATAATATATTATCCCCCTGCTTTAAGTTAAGTGGCTTCCCATTGCTTGGGTTAAGGTCGAAGCTTTTCTACATCCGTACCATACACCCCCTCCCCCCCAACCCTGGCCAAAGGCCTGTCCACAGATGGCTCTCTCCAGCAGGGATTCTCCCCTCAAGGTAGCTTCGCTTCATCATTCAGACATCAGTGCAAAATGTCTCTGTCTCCCTGAACCTTTCCCTCGACCTTCTTCAGCAGGCCAAACACCTGTTGGTGTGATTATTTAATGTAAGTATAAAATGGCATGGTATTGGTTTTAACCTACTTACATCCTGCCAGGGTGCATTTTTTTGGTTTTGTTTTTCCTCCCAGTATACGTTATCTCGAGATTACTGAAAATGAGGGGCACAAGATAAATAAAATGTAAAACGTTGTTATAATGTATTGTTTAAGGAACAAGGAGAAGGAAGAAGCCTGGGTATGTTCAATACTGACCCAATCCTCCTTCCCTCCCCCAACCTCCCTTGCAGCAAATACCGTGGATCGAATGGAGGAACATCATACTGCGACACAACCCCAATCCTCTCTCTGTTTTGCTTTGTTTTGATCTTTGAGTCAAAGTCTCTCTATTTAACTCAGGCTGGTGTTAAGCTCAGCGTAATCCTCTTGCCTCAGTCGGTGCAAAACCCTGTTTAAAAAAAAAGAACAGGACTCCTTCCTGCCTCAGCCTCCCAAAGCACTGGGACTACAGGCATGACTATCACTGAGAGCTCAGATGTAATTTTCTTAATAAGAGGCGTTCATCTGTAATCCCAGCTACCAGGGAGGCTGACACAGGAGGATAAATGATCAAAGCTAGCCTGTGGAATTGCGTGAGATGCTGTTTCAATATAGATTTGTTTTTTAAAGGCCTGGGAGTGCAGCTCAGTGGTGGTAGAACGTTTGTGCAAGGTAGGTAGGTCCTAGGTGCTCAAGCATCACCAAAACCAAAAAACACTGTGAGGTCGGTCGGTCGGTGGAGTGACAAGGACGACCCACGACCTATTTATTACTAAACACAGAACCCAACCATACTGAAAGCTTATAGAAACACTGTAATTACAAGTTAACACTTATGCCCAAGGATATCGTCTGTCCGTTTTTGAGACCATGTGTCAGTCAGGCTGGCCTGAAACTCCCTAGCACCCCTCCCAGTCCCCCCAAGCAAAATACACGTAGAAACACACTTACAGCCCGAAAAGAAACTGTTACGAAAAAAGAAGAGGATAACAGGAGGGAACAGAAGTAGCTCTACTTTTAGCAACCACCAGATCAGGGGAAAGCGCGAACGCAGTCCCCCACTACCACAAATTATGCAGTCGAGTTTCCCACATTTGGGGAAATCGCAGGGGTCAGCACATCCGGAGTGCAATGGATAAGCCTCGCCCTGGGAAAACCACCTTCGTGATCATGGTATCTCCCCTGCCAGGTAAGTATGAGTTGGCAACCTCGTGCCACACTCACCCTCCTCTCACACTCCTCATCTACTCACGGTCACTACCCTCACACCTCCTCCACGCCTTCCCCCGCAAACCACACGCTGCTTCCCACCACGACCCCCGCACTCCTTGCACCGGGGACACGCCCGGGAGACGCAGCTGCGGGAACCACGCGCTGGAACCGGCAGCCACTGCGTGACATCTGCATGTCCCCGCCTCTTGTGGTGACGCCCTCCGCCGCGACGAGCCTTCCGCCGGCGTCGCCCTCCCGGGAGGAGGTGACGACGCGGCGGCGGGCAGCAGAGTGAGTTGTCCCGGGTCTGAATCGCTGCCGCCTCCGCGGCCGCACCCGGGTAATCCTCCGTCTGTTTCCATTTCCCAAGACGTACGGCGCGAATAATACGCCCCGAGCTCACCGGCTGGCCGAGGTTTCTGTGAGGGCTGAACGCGTGCCCAGCAGCCCAGATCCGCGATCCGCCAACCCCTCCCCGACCCTCCGGCCCGAACTGCAGCCGCGCGCCAAGCAGGGCAGGGCAGCCGGCTTCACACCGGCATCTTCTGATGCCAAGAGAACCGCATCCGTCGCCTGTTTGCTAACAATCCGAAGACCTGTCCTTTCTTCTTAGGAATAGAGGACGCACTGCGTTTTCCTTTCTGCATCACTGGCTAATGCTCCGGGTTCCGTTTAGCATCAACCGTATTTACTGTCACAGGCTTGGCCGTTATTTGCTTTTGTTCTCTGTGTTTTTCTTGGGAAAAACCTCTTGTTTAATATGTTTGGAGAGACAGTGGGTTTGTTGCTGCTGTTCTCAACAGGTCACTTTCTATCATGGCGAATGACAGACAACTTTCCAACATGAAGCCAGGGGCGGCACCGGCCTATAATCTCAGCTACTTCACTTTGTTACTGGTTTGTTTCAGGTGGGGGCGGGAGGGTGGTACCTCAGGGCCTTGTGTATGCGAAACAAGTGACAAACGTGGGAAGTTCAAAAGGTCAACATACAGTACCTGTAAAAGAGTGCGTGGGAGTTACGTCAAAAAGCTTCCAGCCCACCACACACACACACACACACACACGGAGTCAAGAAATAAGAGCCCCCGCTGTCCTGACATCACACACACCACACTAGCTCATCTGACCAACCACGACTGTAGTATGCCCCCCTCCAGATCAACCCCGCTATTAGGAGCGGGGTGCTCTATAGAAGTCAAAGACACGAACCCGTTGAACACCGTACAGAAAACCTAACTTTAGAACCAAGCTGCCAGGGGGAAAGCGCGAACGCAGTCCCCCACTACCACAAATTATGCAGTCGAGTTTCCCGCATTTGGGGAAATCGCAGGGGTCAGCACAGCCGGAGTGCAATGGATGAGCCTCACCCTGGGAAACCACCTTCGTGATCATGGTATCTCCCCTGCCAGGTAAGTATGACTCGAGCCCCACCCGCCCCACTACCCCAACTCACACGCTCACTCTTACATTCCGGTCGCTCCTCACTCCGCTACAATCACCCGTGCGCACACGCTCACAGCCAAAACAGCAAGAGGGCCCGCGGCTCACCACCTACTGGCATACTTCACCTGCTACACACCCCGATCCCTGCCAGGGAACGCGCTTCCACAATGCACCGAGACCGTTCATCTGCATAACGCCGCCCGCTCCCCCGCCTTGCGCCGCCCGCGCGCCAGCGGCCTCCGCCCCAGCCCGGCTTCCCACCCCGGGCTCCTCAGGCTCGCGCTCGCCCCAGCCGCACCTACCGGGCTGCTTTCCTCCCCCACACCCGTCCGCTTCCAGTCCTGCGGCGTGCCCCGAGACCTTCCTTCCAGAGACAAGAGACAGCCTCCCCCTCCGCAGAAATGGCCGTGAGGAGTTTTCGGTCGCCAGGAGACCTGCCTCCTCTCGCACTCCCGCCACGCCGACCGACCTTCCGCGGCCGCCCCGCACCATCCCCGTCTGTTGCGAGGAGGAGGGCGGCGGGCCGTGCAAGCTGGGGGCAGCTGCCGAAGAGCGGGACCCGCGGAGGCGCGCGGGGGCGCGGGGAGAGGAGCTGCTTTCCACCTTCAGGATCCCATGCCCCTAAGCCAGACAGTTCCAGGCCCCGAGATCCGCTCTGCAATTCACGTTTGCTTGACCAAACCTTAATTAAGAAGCTTTTCCTGGATTTCTCCGTATACTGCCTTCTGAACTCCAATTTGAAGCAAAGAACCCTGTTAGCCCAAACAAACTACCACCACCCCTGCCTCTCCCCACTCCCCACTCCATCCCCTTAGTTACTCTTGGTAATTTTACATCTGCCGAACCAGTTGTTCAAGAGGCTGGCAATAAACTCCTGACTTACCCCCACTGTATTTACAACTACAAAGAAACTGTCTCCCCCATTACAATGGTCTCTAAACCCAGCACTATGAATAAAGTCAAGCCTTAATGTGCCTTAACAAATATCACTGAATAATATTTTTCTTCCTTTAACTGGCACACTGGGGTTAATCTGCTCAAGCTTACTCACCCAGTAAGTCACAGTGACACCCTAATTTGGACTCAGTAATCTGCTTCAGGAGCACACACTTGGCTTTTGCCTCCTCCACCCTATAGCTGTCCCTCCCCTTTCTCTCTTCAACAATAATCACCTTTCACATGTTTCTTAAAATGCATGCATGCATGTATGTACGTATTTTTGGTACCAGGAATTGTATTCAGGACCTGGCACTTGCCAGGCAGGTGCTTATGCCACCAAGTCCTATCTGGCATGCGTGTGCGCATGCATTGTGTTCAAACCTAGGGCTTTGTGCACACTAGGCCAAGCGCTCTACCACTAACCTACATCCCCAGCCCTGCCACTGGCATTCTAACAAACCACTTTAGAAAGGACTATATAAACCTGGCATTGTGATCTATGCTTGTAATCCCAGTGCTCTGATGT